CCAAGCAAACGGATCTCATTCACTGCCCATATCTGGACGAAATCCTCATTCTTAGGCCTCTCTATCGGTAAGTTATGTAATTTCGGGAAAAGGTGAGGTGCACCTAAAGACATTGTTTTTTGATTTTTTCTTTGTAAAACCGGGAAACTGTGGTGTTTTTCTGTGCTTTTGGCAGCTGGCAAAAGTATTGTTACTTAATTACAGGTGTAACAAACATTGGCTGGGGCACAGTGAAATTGCACAGCTTTGATGAAGAATATGTCCTGACGTTTCCGAATGGTTATGGTCGTTCTATTATGAGTACACCTTGGATTGAACTTGGTGGAAAAGTAAACCCTTTATTACTCTGAACTGCTTTTTTGCCTCAATATTTACATGTTTTCTTTTGCATGAATGGTACATGAGCGTAGCGTAAACAGATAAGAGGGCTTAACACATCTGTGTTTTATGCCGTGGTGCATCCGATGACATCAAAAAGCTTCGCACCTGCAGCCCAGGCATTCACGGTATTTTACTTGAAAAGCCCTCCCTTTTTCACTCAAAAGTAACTCAAGTAATAGTTCGTTTGAGCAGCAGCCTTACTTTGATAAGACTTTCTCTAGCTCTTTTTTTCTAGAATTCTTTAAAAACGAGCCGACGGCGATTTTTTTATACTGGTATTTCATGATATTTTACATTGCAGGTGACTGTAAACTGCATCAAAACGGGTTATTCAGCTGAAATTGATTTCTTGACAAAGCCCTTTTTTGGTGGAAAACCACATCGAATCAGCGGAAATATTTATCGTTCCGGATTCAAAAAGCCCATTCTTACAATAAAGGGGGAATGGAATGGTGTAATGACTGCAAAACCGCTCAATGGCGAGGAATACATATTTGTTGATGTTAAAAGATATCCTGAAGTGAAAAAGGTTTATTTCATTCAACCAGGCTTTTCAAAATTTCAGCGAGTAGATAGCCTTGGTAGGCATTCAGACTGCACCGTGGTTTTTCGCAGTTTTTGTGCTTCCTGAAAGGAATTTATCGCTTGGCCGCACCTAATTAGTTTTTCATTATTATTTTGGAATACTCTTTGCTCACTTTTTTACATCTCTTTTCATCTAAACAGTAACCGTTTTAATAGGTGGATCCAGGACAGACTCCTGGGAGTAGAAAGGGAGGGATGGGATACGAGAGAGGGGGCAATTAAACTTGAGGAGCGGGGACGGGGAGGGGGGAGGGGAACGGATCTTCACCGCACCCTCCCACCCTGGACACTAGTGCTTAGAGTTACTTTAATTTTATTTGAAAACAGGTTCGGGGTTTTGCAGCGCTGGTGCCTGTGCTGCAGAGGAGGGGAGGTAGGAGAGGAGGGAGAGGGGGGGGGGGGGGGGGGGGGGGGGGG